TAAAATATAGTTAATTCATATAAACTCGCGCTTAACAGAACAAATAAGAGATAAAGGTGGAGAAATTTCAATGCTACCTATCGATATTTTTCCCATTTTTATAAACTTTGATTTTTTTGTTAGCTAGAAGCAAATAAGGAAAAATATACTAGGGCACCAAAGTGTTTTCAAAACTTATGGGGCTGCCCATTCCGTTATTTTTTTTTGCTTATTTGTGCGAGAAAAAACCCAACTGGAAACTTTTAAAATATGGCTGAACTTCAATTATTTTTTAGCGCGTGAATTTTGGGAGCGAAGGATCGTTTTTTGAGCTTATTTTTTTGGACCTCAGGGCTTGTTAACACATTCAAGCCGTTCTTGGCCGCAGGACCAAACTAAAAACTCTCATTAACATAATAAGCATCATTATACAAATCTAAAACAGTGTAAAATGCATCCACATACCCGCCGTACACACCACACCATAGAACACACACAGCTCACAGCGTTTGACCTCAATTAAAATATTTTGCGAGCACAGAGAGAGAGAGAGTTTTGCCAACTTGCATTTTATGGGCTCTTACTTAATGTAGTACATCCCCGGACCCCCCTGACACCACACTAAGAAGAAGGACCCACTGCAGCAATAAAAAGAGCCGTTGACATTTCACGCTTTTAATTAAAAATCCTGGCCAGCAATTTGTGCTAAATGAAATAAAGAAGGACGGACCTAGCCTGCTAAAGGTTTTTCTATGGGTTCTTTGTGGGGGCGGGCGACTTCTAAATTTGCTATAAATCCGACATGATTTCAATTGAAACGACATGATAAAGTGTTGATGGCCTGGTCTTATCCTAGTATTAATATACTCCTCCAATGACCCGCATTTTAAAGGCCGCAGTAGGTAGTGGAGGAATTTCTCTCGAAAATCCTGCTTATGACAGTTGACAGCTGAAGGAAGCGATTTATCAGAGCTCCAAAAAGGCAGGAAGGCGGCAGGAGGCACAAGGCACCAGGCAGCACATCTGATGACATTGCTAAATAAATGTCAAAAGAGGAAGACCGAAGGGGAGTAACCCACACATACCCATGTCCTCAGAGATAGTCATTCACACATCACACAGGACACACGACAGCAAGGACTAAATCAGAAGAAGTACAGCTTAACCCAAAAGGGAACTTAATTACTGTAGCGTTGGGGATTGCCGCCTGTGTTAATGTTGATTTTGTGGAAGTTAATTGAATGACTAAAGTGTTTGTCTTCATTAATTAATTGGTGCGCAACACATTTTCGGTGATTTCTGTTGAGCAAAATATGTGAAAGGGTTCCAAATTAATAGGTAAGAAGAGGGAAACGTCAGATAGGTTAGGATTCAAGCAAGATATATGTATGTATGCATGTATAATATGTGCACCACAAACTAAAATAGAATAAAAAACTGTCTTTATTTAAGTAATTTTTGTAAAAAAATGCTACCCCATGGCGATAGAATAAATAGGTAAAATCGGTAAGCTTACAGAAATTCAGCAAAAAACGAGAAGAGACGTGTGAGACGCTTCTTACGCGTCACAACATTCATACCCGGCACTCAGTACTACATGTGCACCTTAGCGGTGTTTTGTAAAATTTTACATATTTTCTTCATCGGTCATCTACATCTACAACACTTCTCGCCCCACTCCCTAGACCCACACACTGCAGACTCGCGGCAGAGGCATTGGGCGCACACAGCAGAAGCAGATTGTGAATGAGAGAATGTGAAATGTTTATTTATTTATTTATATATTTATATATAAATATATATATATTTATTTATTTATATTTATTTCTTTAAATATAAGCTGCGGGGCGGGGTGGGTTTAGCCACTGAATATTAATTTCTTCATTCTGGCTATAATAATGGTCCAATCGGATCCCAATTCGGTGATCTGATAGATACGGGCATTCCCTACGGAATGGCGTTTTTAGTTTTCTTGTATCTTCAAAATTGTATGTTTGGGAGAGATACATGGCTCAATCGACTCGTCTATTGATGCTGATCAAGAATATATATACTTTATGGGGCGGAAACGTTTCCTTCTGTTCGTTACATACATTCACTTTGTGCACAAATACAATATGCCCTATTTACTCTTCGAGTACCGGGTATAAAAAAAGGGAGCGCCATTCTTTGCCAAATTCATATATGAATTTTTAGAGGCGAAAATACTTCAAACGAATCATGCAAATGACTGGAAACAATTTTATTTTTGAATGCTCAAAGTGTTGCCTTTCGTTTTTCCTGGATATTTTAGTGGCATTTCCAATTATGTTTTCCATTTCCAGTTTTTTGTGTGTTCCCAAGTCGCTTACCCAAATGAAGTGAAATAGCCAAAATCCAATTATATCCAATTCACTTTTTGGCATGTTTTTTGCATATAGCAACAGCAAAAGTTGGCTAAATAATATTACATATATAATCCGTACTCGTAAGTTGGCTTTTCATTCTTGTTGAAGAGTTTTACACCCTTCTATGGGTAGAAGCACTCCAAAAACTTTTGCTTAAAATGTTCTATTTCGAGCATAAAAACTTTTGTCCGCCATCAACGGAACACACACCAGAGGAGAGGATAGGAAACATTTTCAATAATTATCACACCCAGTCGACAAGAATGGCAAAGACATGAAAATATGCTCACCAAAAGAACATGAAAAAGTAATGGAATGAAGAGCCATAAGAGCCTTGTCTGTTGCCTTTTACTTAATATTCATAAAAGCATTTTAATTTCCATTTAATTAAATTATTTGTATGAGTCAGCAGTTGATTCTATTGTGGGGCTGCTCGGGTGCGCCCCGGGGCGTGGCAGGCTAAAGTCTATCTCCTCTCTCTCTCTCTTGTGTTTTTTATACGCGGTACTCGAAGATTAAATAGGGTATATTGTATTTGTGGGGAATAACAGTTATATGTAACGCACGGAAGGAAACGTTTCCGACCCGAGCATCAATAGACGAGTCGATAGAGCAATGTCTGTCTGTCCCTCTTTTTTGTCGGCTAGTTCTCAGAGACAATAAGAGCTAGAGCCACCAAATTTTGCCTCCAGACTGCTGTATGGTCACACTGAAACCAGTATATTTTAAAAATTAGCCACTCTTCCGCCCCCGCAAAAGGGCGAAACCTCAAAACCTAAAATTTTGAAGATAAAAGAAAACGCCATTCCGTAGGGAATGCCAACATCTATCAGATCACCGATCATTATTATAGCCACAATGAATAAATTAATTTGCAGTGGCTAAAACACACCCTGTCCAGTAGGATTTGTTGTTTTTTTTCACATTCTCTCATTCACACTCTGCTTCTGCAGTGGATCTACAGTGTGTGGCTCTAGAGAAGGTGGGCGAACGAAAATAACGTGCTGGCGTGAGAAGTTATGTAGATGTAAATGACAGGTGTAGCAAAAAGTCGAATGTAAAATTCGAAAAAAACAATATGGTACACTGACTGACTACCGGGTATAAAAGTTGTAACGCGTAAGATGCGTCTCACACGTCCCTTCTCGTTTTATATATTTTTGATGCAAGCATGTTCATTTAACAAATTTTCAATTTCAAAACTTAAATTAAGAAGAAAATTGGGGGAAAAATTGTTGGGTTGGGGGGTGAATGGAAAGTTTCACTGAAACAATTAGGGGTAAAAGATGTGACTCTTGGAAAGAAGCAAGCCCGAAGTAACAACACTTAAAGTGTTCTTTTGGTCCAGAATATTACTGTCTGACTGCAATTATTTTTGGTAAATATGTACATGCACTATTTAAGTGTAGAGTTCTTCTTAAATGTATTTGAAACATTTGGGCCACGTAAATGTATATATGAGTTTTAGAAGTCCTTATATTTCTTGCACTCTTATTCTGTAGTTCTTCTAACATCAAAGTTTTCCTTGATAAAGAAGTCTAAAGTTTACTTACAATTCAAATGCAAATGGATGGCCACCATTGTGAATCACAGACTCCAGATTCCAGACACAAAACACACAAACCGAATCGAATCAAATTGAACTTGATAAATTGCTGAAATAATCCTCAGTACTTTTTTTCGTTTCCTTTTTTTGTTTGGGCAAGTTGTTGACTCGCAGGATTTCGCCAACCAACTGAATGAACAGTCTGCTGACTGAGTGAGACTCCGATGATGGTTGGACCCAAGCTACAAGCGACACAAAAATGTTGAACGGGCACAATCAAACACACTCCTGCACACACACAGCCACTCACACACCCAAGAGTCCTGTCCTTCCTTCCGTTAGCTTTGAGCGAAATGTAGTTTTAATTTTTGTCGTGTAGCATAGTTTTTGGCATGTGCTGCAGAACAAAATTCCAGTGGAAAAACAAACAAAAAGGCGCTCTCAGCCAACGTTAGTCGTCGGCGACAGTCGTCTGGTAGACCGCGCTCTCCCTTTGTCGATTTGTTGTGCGGCTTAATTGCTTTCGTTTTGCCGGTTGGGGCAGGGCAAGGCCCCAAAACAGCTGATGATTCAGGCACAGCACCACTCAAAGCGAGAGAGAGAGAATATTGAGTTGCCGCTGTTATTTGAGTGGGAATTATAAATAACATTCTCTTTGAGTCAGTCAGCTGTTGGATTTGATCGTTGGGAATGGAAAATGTGGAACAAGGTAAACGACCTCTTCTAGCATGTAACGGTTGCATACTAATCTTATTGTTGCTAATGTTACGGTACGAAACGGTAAGTTATAAACGTTTTTAGGTTCAGCCCTACAACAGCGCTCCATGTAAGCAGTTTCCTGGATCATTTATAGGAATTCCTATGTACCATTCTAGGGAAAACATGAAATTGGTTTTTTAAATCATAGTAAGCTTGTTGGATTAATTCAATCAAAACCCAAAATATCCTAAGCATTTTAATATTAAAAATAATTACGGAAGAAATAAATTACAGAAAAAAGGTGCTGTGTTTTGGAAATTGTGATTACCATCGGTGAAAATATTTTATTTTAAATATTTCGCACTCAACGAGTGTGCAACAAACAAATTTAATTACATAAAATTAAAGACACAATTTTGAAATATGTTACTTGGCAATAAACGTCGAAATCGTGGCGGTTGACAGGTCTTTATCTTTACGACTTTGTATATGCATATACTATGAGTACATATCGCAAGAAACTCCACTGTTTTACTGTGGTAATAAAACAACCAAGGCAGCCGTCTTGTCAACACTCCCCAATGTTGAGGTGAAAACCAAGGGTTCGGAACACCCAATATTGGAAAAAACCACAGTATAGTATGTAAAAATTAAACAATAAATCAACCGAAAACGAGTTATGCATTGTACTCCTTAGATCTTCTGGTTGAAGCTACAATTATGGTTTCCCGCACACTGAAATCCAGAAAATAGAAACAAAAGCCCCTCTGAGCCCCTACTAAGGTGCATATGAAATTATTTTAATACCTTTTAAGCTCCTATACAGGCCAGCAACATATTGGTCAGGATTATGCCCCAAACACACAGTTTCATAATTTTCCAATGAAAGCAAACACAAAAGAAACAGCTGGCATTGAATGTTCACCACAAAGGTAAGTCGAGAAGGTTTGTTATCTATATCTTTATACTAAAACTGATCCCCACAGCAGCACGACATGCACCTTCCGATTTAGCACTTGATATGGATGCCCCTTTGTAGCTACCACTCGGTCGGCATCAAATCCGAAGCCTACACTCGGAAGCCACCACTGGACACCCCACCGTAGACAACACTCGATCGTCGCCACACAACTTCAGTTCCATGAACGATCAACATATCGATGCCGGAGGCTTACAAATAAATAAAATAAAACAAAATGAAAAAATACAATAAGTACCACTGACAGCTAGACTCATTTTTAAACTCATAAAATAATGAAATGCTTAAAATATGTTTTAAGAAGTTTTAGGAAGAGTTCTATTGATGGAAATGAATGCATGGAGCATTGATTTATATTTGGTTTTCAAAAGAAATGCATTCCAGTGGCAGCCATTTATAGGTTGGTCCCAATTGAGAATTAATTTCTAACGCAATCAAAGCCAAATCTTTGAAAATTAGCTACTTTTAGCTATCATTTCGTGCGGTGTACACTTGAACACAAGACTCTGCTTGCTCAATAAAATCTGTATTAAGCTTCGGCTCAACAACAGACCAGGAGGCGAGGCGATGGCAACCAAACGATGGAAACACCCAAACATAAACCACATTTCATTTTGGAAAGCCACGCCCAGCAACTAGAACTGGATCGCGGACTACCCCTCTTGCCATTTTCCTCAGAAAAATACTGAAAAATCGAGCCACTCGCACGTGACTCGCACTACAGGCAGGCACTTTGGCATTGATTGCCCCCCCCCCCCAATGCCATCGTCAGTGCCATGGCAGGGCCAAATGTCGCCAGCGACGACGACGACAAAATTCTGCAGGCTGGAAAAAACCAAAGCCAACAGAAACTACTGTCGCTGACGCTGAAAGCTGCTCAAAAGCCAACAAAAACCAACAAACATGGCTAAAGTAAAAGCCATGCGGCATTGCAGCCTGCTACAGCTGCTGCTGCTCCGACTGCTGCTGCTGTAGTTTTAATGGTTTTCCCTGCAGCGAGCCTCCGCCGAGTCGAGCACGATTCGAGTCGAGGCAGAAACAAACGGTGATGATTCATCGAGGCTCAGCCTTTGAGAGCTTTTCGCTTGCTCCCTCCCCCACCCGGGAACAAATTGGCCAACTTGAGGGCTTAAAGTGCGGAAACTTACCTGCAAAGAGAAAAGAAAAATAAAACTGCAATTAGCGGAGAGAAATTGTGTTCGAAATGTCTACAAAAGATAGGAACTTAGATGATAATTTCCTTTGTGGTAGATTTTGTATCTTGCTTGAGTCGCAATTTATGGATTAATCTTTGTACAAAAGATAGTAAGAGTCCTGCATAGAATACCATTTACATAAGAGAGTACAGTGAGTAAAATATAAAATTAGCGACAGCTGCTTGTGTAATTCAACAGCTGTCGCTTGTGGCGCCTGTGGCAAGCAGCCCAGCACTCCCCCTTTGGCATTTCTTGCCACTGATAATAATGAAAAGTTTGAGAGCACTGTGGCCAACAGTTGTTGCAAGTAGATAAGTGAGAAATGCAGACGACTCGCGGCCCACTAGCAACAAAAAGGAAGTGAAATACCTTCAAAAACTTCCTCCCTAGAAGTCTCTTCTGTTGTATTTCGTTTTTTTTCGTCGTTCGTATGATGGACACAGACTTTTCTAGTCGCTTTTTTATTTGTTGCAGCAAACACTTGAGCGCAAAGAATGTGGCAGTTTTTTTTTTTCCTTTCTCTGGAGTTTTGCTAAAAGTACTTCTTTTTGGGTGCCCCAGGACGTTGACCTTACGCGTTTAAGCACGGATTCTGTGTGGTTTTTATGGGTACCTTTAAACATGAATTTATTTGCCATGGATAGGTGTATCTATTCTTTATCCAACTCCAAGATAATTCCTTAATGTGTAAATCTGTCTATCTACTAGCTTTCACTCCTCTGTTGCGCGTTTACTTCATGACATCCATTTATCTGCTTTGCTTGTAGTTTCTCCTCTTGAGTCTAAGACGCTTAGCGACTGCTTTTCACCTGCTTTCTGTTATCCTTGAAGCCCAGACTAGGGCGCCACTAAGTCCTGCTCTATCTGGCCTTACTATTCCACATTTTCCTCGCTTTTCTTCCCTGTGTCTCCGGGTGGTCTCTCTTTTTCTCTGCAATTACATAAGTAAATGCCGGTAGCACGTGCCCGGTTATACCACCTGCACCAGTCTGTGTTTGTGTCTGTGACTCAATGAAGCAAAAAAGGAAAGCCTTGGCCCAGACCGGGCGCCCCTTCCCACTTGAGCTTTTGCATTATATACCTTATATTCTGCTCAAATATGTATATATGCGATGTACATATGTATAGGTTTGTATGTATATCCATTCGTCTGCAATGACGTGACGTGTTTACCTTATGCAAAAAAAGGCATGGCGGAAAATGCAGAAGAAAAGTCCGAGAAGCAAAAAACCAACACCCCAAAAAGTTTTCACCCAAGTTTTCTCTGTTGGCCAATGCAGTTTATCACCTTGGAAATGCGGCTAAATGACTGCAAAAACACACTAAACCAACGAAACGTTCCTATCTACATACATACCTGTATATATATACGATTACATATGTATATATGTACATGCTGCGCTTTATGTGGAAAAGGTAACTGCACTATTGATTTTTTGATAGATATACATTGTCTTTTTTCTTGCGTTGGATTGATGTTTGCTTCATTTTTTCATTTTGCTTGGCTTGATGTTTGCTATATTTGTTTTAGATTTTTGCTGCCTTTTTTGTGTGGTTTCTTACTGACTCTTTTTTATTTTTTTTGTCGACTTTTTTGTTTGATTTCATGTTATTTAGCTCTCCGTTTTTAGTGTGTTCCAAGTGGTGGCAGGTGGGGTCATTTCGTATTAGCAGAAGTCAAGTAAAAAGTCAGAGGCTTCAGGTGTGGAATTTATGGGCTATGTAAAAGTTATTAGAAGCAGATTAAAACGAGGTAATTATTGTGGGATCGTATTGGGGTACTGTAGTGACAAAGAACACCAGAAGCAGTCACACCTATTAATCGTCCGTCTCCTCCCTAATATATCGATATATGTGGGATATAGTAGGAGTACTCAGTTGCTACGTGAGAGAGAGTGACAATTACTACAATATTAATGGTATTTATGTATAAACATCTGTATGTACATATGTATGCCAGTATACAACTTAATTAAATTTGAAATAATTGTGAATAATTCTGCATTATTTTCATGTTTTAGATGATATGTAAGTCAGCCGAATTAATCACTAATCGTTACCCAATATTGCAAGGCTTTAATTAGGTTTCCAAATGGTTTTATTAATGAATATCCTCTTTATGCAAGTATTTAAATCTGTTTGTATTATACGGGAACATATCCTACATTATTTTGCTCTTGCCAGATTTTTAGTTTCAACCTAAATCCTAAAAACTTAATTTGTGGACTTTAGAAATTCGAAACTTCTTTATTCCACACAGAAATAATAGATTTTCGAGTAAAACTTCCAAGTAAACACAAAAGAAGAAAAGAATAAAACACATAAAACTCATTTAAGTTGAAAATTCATGTTAATTTTTAAGGCTTAACCCATTTATGGCCAAAGCATTTATTTAGTGAAAAAGTTTCCTTTTTAAAGCGGAGCGAGCGTAAAAGGAAGAAAGAAAAGCCAGCCTCAAGTGCTGGGGAATTATTAATGGAAGATTGCGCTCACACGAGGAGGGGCTCCTTCATTCAGTGCCCTGCAGCATACCACTTAATACAGTCAACTATTGACAGCAATTGAGGCGCTGCTGCCCTGCTCCTAATACGCAGCTCAAAGAGTGTCGAGGGGGCGGCATGGACGCAGGAAAAGTGGAGGTTATTTGAAGAGGTAAGCATTTTCCAGGCGAACAAGCAGCAGCACCACCACCCCCATCAGAGTTGCGCCCACGATGGCTTCCCTCTCTCACATTTAATGAAAAGCAAAAAGCAAGCATGAAAATTGCTTAATTTTAAAGCTTTCAAGTGGGTATCGCAGTACATTTTCCATTACGTATAATTTTAGAGGTTTGTGAAATATGAATCAAGCAGATTAATATATTAAAAGTAAAACTAAAGCATAGGTTCATTTATTTTCAGCTAAAAGAGATGCGCCACACGATTCGGCTACCGCTCCCCTGTTAGTACTAACATCAACATCAGCTAATTAGCCATGCCCAGAGGTGGCCATGGGGCAAAGAGCAAGCAGCACAAAGAAAGCCACCAGTTTGATGGCCGCCAAGATAAACAAAACCACGGGAAATTCCCAAATTCAAGCCAGAAAAACAGGAGGAAAAGCCAGAGGAGATGGAGGAGCCCTGTCCTAAAGTAAATGAGAATTTCTGCAAAGAGAACGAGAGAGCGCGGGGAACATAGTTCACAAAAGCACAAAACAATAACCAAAGCGGAAGGCGGAAAAACAAAAGTGAAAAGTGCAAAATAAAAGGAAGTTTATTATTATTTGCAACAGTTAACATTTAAAACAAAAGCTGCAACAACATCAGCAGCGGCAGCAAAGGAAACAAAGAAGCCCGCAGGAACTGGCGCAGCTTACCTCACATGCCATGATGGAGTTCATCAAGATATACATATGTACCTATTTTTTCCATGCATGCCCTGATAATGAGAGCTCAAGGGGGTATTCTGGCGGTGTGTGGAGGTTTGCTACAGTCAGAGAATAATTAAGAGATAAACAGGCAACGTTTCAGAGACCGAACACGCATTTTCTAGAGGATTTTCTGATAAATACGCTCCCATCGAACTTTTGAAATGACCAAAAATCCTGTGATATCCAATATATGTACAACTTTTACCACTTTGCACACTTTAAAGCACTCAACGAAAAACTCCTTCAAAGCTTGCCTTAATTGCAAAGAATTTTCTGAATGTTTAAAAAGCATCCCCTTGTCGAGATATCGAGAAAAGATCTCACACTTCTATTTAATTTAAATGCAATTCAACAAAAAGTAGGCATGTCACACTCCTGCTCCCCTACTCTCCTGATGAATGGGGCACCACATATGGGACCCCAGGAAAGAACGAACCCAGAAGAAAGGCAAATAAAAAACGACGAAAGCAAACACTTACTGGCGCTTAATGAAGGAAACGGCATAAAAGCCGCCGTCTAAGTAGATGTTGCTGCCTTGTGCAACAAACGGAAGTACAAAGAACAGCAGCAACAACAGCAACGACAACAACAAAAAGAGGCA